TTTTGTCTGTTGGTCTGTCTTTAACTGCCTGTCTCTGCCTCTCTGTGTAAATTATGAGTTGTATTGTTTTGCTGAAGTTTTCCTCAGTGTGTTTGTTGATTTTATATAGGGGGCTATTTTTTGAAATAAAATGTTAATCCTTCTAATTTACTGAAAGTATTTGTTAGCTCTAAAACTTCTCTGGAACTGTCTTGAGGATCTGTAATTATATAGTATTGTGTTATATACAAGTAAGTATACCTTATCTTTGTCTCTTCACATTTGAATTATTTTAGTTTCCTTTGTCTTATTGGCCTAGCTAAGACTTTCAGCACTGTATTGAATAAGAGTGTAGAAAGTAGACACCCTTCTGTTCTTATTTTGGTGAAAATCTTTCAGATTGCTCACTCCCTTTTAGTATAATATTGGCCATAGGTTTTATTGAATGAAGACTTTATTATACAATGCTACTTCTTTTTTCTTCTTTCTTCAGTGTATCAAGACTGTTATCATGAACAAATGTTGAATTTTGTCAAAAGCCTTTTCTGCATTATTGATATAGACATGTGATTACTGTCTTTGAGTCTCTATACTGTAGTACATTTACCTATTAATCTATATTAAATCACTTCTGCTTTTCTAGAATGAAGCCAACTTGATTGCAATGAATAAACTTTTTGATGTGTTTCTGTATCCTGTTTGTAAATATTTGTGTCTATACTCATTGGGAATATTGGTCTATAATTTTCTTTTTTGTTTTGTTTTTTTCAGCTTATTTTTTGAAAAAATAAGGGTAATACTGCCTTCATAAAAAGTGTTTTGTACTGTTTGTTCTTTCCTTCCTTATTTAATGAGTAATTTGATAAGAAATGCTGTTGTTTTTTATTGAAGGTTTAGTACAATCTGACGCTGGACGGTTTTTTTTTGTCAAGAATATTTTTATCACTGTTTCAACCCTATTGCTCATTAATGATATCCTAAAATTGTTTATGTCAACTTAGTTTAATGTGGTAGGGAAAATGTATCCAGAAATCCATCTATTTCTGTTTATGATTTTTATATTTTCTTATATATTTCTATCTATATATATATATGTATTCATTCATGTTTTCTAATTTAGCGTTTTATGACACATCCTTACAATCTTTTGAATTCTATAGCTATTTTTCATTATGGCTCTCTTTATTAATTTTGATTTGAATTTCAATATATTTATTAATGATGACATATCTTAGGCTGAATCTTGAAATACTACGTGAGTCAGAACTCTTCAACCCCTCAAGTCAATCAAAATTTAAAGTACTAGAACTTGTGTTTGCCTTTATTTCATTTTTTTTCTTCCAAACTATCTTTCCCTTCAAAATTACAAAGTTCATTTCATCCAAATTACCCCATTAATCATGATCACCATGGCTATCTCTACTGCATCCTGTATGCAAAACCATTTTCCTCTTTCTGGATGTCAGTCACAACCCAGGAATCTTCTAATCTCTGTATCTAGAAGTCAAAGATAAGGCAATTCAATCATGGTTATGCAGGATGACTTTGGCTTGATAATGTCACTTATACGTAATGCAGATTTCAACATGAAAGATGCAGTCAGTGAGCTAGTGCAGGGCCTGGAGAGATGAACTGGAAGGTATGTTTTATTGCCTAACTTGTGAACTGTTAGAGTTTACCTTGTATATTGAGTGCCACTTCTTGTTCTAGATCATGATGCAAGAAGCCCTTCTTGGTAACACAAAACAAGAATTGGAAGTAAAATCTACCCAAATTAGAGAGGAATAAGCAAGTGACATCATTTTGCATTGTATTGTCATCTATATTGCAATAACACAAATTCTTGGAATTTTTTATTCAGATGGATTAGAAAAAAGTTTTAGGAAAGGTAAAATACCAATTAAATTAGTTTTATCTATACAAACAATGAAAAAGTAGAACTTGAAGTAAAAATAAGTGTCTAAATGAAATATTCAACTGAGACCTAAAAAAATATGTATAATATTAAAGAGAAAACTTCAAAATTCCAAAAGAAAAAAATTAGACAATATCTAAATTAATAGATGTATTCAATGTTAACATTCCTGTCACCTGTAACTTCATCTAGAGATAAATATCAATCAATTTTGTTGACACTTATTAACTGACTGTGGTTTATAAGAATGTCCAAAAGGTCTGCAATAGCTATTAACAACTTATGTTAAGTAAGAACAAAGTTAGACTGACACTATCTTACTTAAAGATAGACTGTGAAAACTCAGTGACTAGAATGTAATGGTATTATTGAAAAAATATGTAAAAACATCAATGGAAGGAGATAGATATGATAGTACTAATCATCAACTTGACAAAAGTTGACATCACCTTGGAGACGGGTTTCTGAGTATGTGTATGGAGGATTGTTTTATTGTGGTTACTGAGGTGGGACACCTGCCTACTGTGGGTATTGCAGTTTCTCAGGCAAGGGATTCTGGACTGTGTAAGAGTGGAGAAAGTGTCCTGAATGCCAGCATAAATGTCTTCACTCCTCTTTTCTGACTACTGAAGTCATGTGGCCGAATACTTCAAGCACTTGCTGCTTTCACTCCCCCTCATTGATAGAGACTTCCATACATTGACCTGTGAGCTAAAATAAGCCATTTTTCACCTGTATTTCTTTTGCCGGGGAATTTTACCACAGCAATAGGTAAGAAAACTGAGATAAGAGAGAATCCATAAACAGAATCTAGGAAGCATATTTAAGTTTTTACTGGTGAAAGCCAAAGTCAGATGCTACATAGAGATAGTTTTTACAACACATGGTACTTTAGCAACTCACAGTTACTTTCAATTCTTCAATCTACACACAAGCATATCTTTAAAAAAATTAGGTCAGTTGATATCAGATGTAAAACATGCAGCATACCCAGAAGAACAGATGGGAGAAAAAATTTAATGAGGTTCTTTTTTTTTGAAGGTATGACCCATGATTACAATATTGTCTAACTGGGGGGACTTTAAAATTTGATCTCTGGTTCTATGGACGACCTTGTTAATAGAACAAAAATCCTAGCTATAGTTTATAAGAAGATGCTTCCAAATACATGTATTCAAAGTATAAAAATTCCATAAAATTTAACAACAAAATTAAACATTCAAATTAAAAGATGTGGATAGTCACCTCATCAAAGACATATTGCAATAGCAAAGAAACATGAGATTTTTAATTACCCGTGGTCACCAGAGAACTGCAAATCCATTATGCACTTACTAGATGGCTAAACTCCAAAACCTCAGACAAAACCAAATGTTGTTTAGAATGTAGAAGACAAGGAACACTCAGGTATTTTGAGTGGAAATGCTGATAAAACAGCTACTTTGTAGTTTGCCTGTTTCTTACACAGCTCAGCACAGCTTTATTACACAGTTCAGCAATAATCTCTCTCAGGTTTCTATCTTTTTTATATTTTTATTTGTTGATATTTGCTAGTCAGTGGTAACTTATTCAACTGATTTGCTAACATTTGTATAAGAATGCTTACAGCAGAATTGTGTGGATCGCCCGTAACTGTTGTCAATCAAGATACTATTGGTGAATGATAATGAATAAATAAAAGCATGTTAGTCCTTTCATAGAATATTATGTGGCCCAAGAAAGAATAAACTATCAAATAATTAAAGTATATAGATGAATTCTAAGTAAACATTTCTAAGTTCAAGAAAAACTACACGCTATGTGACTTTAGTTGTGTGATATCATGGAGTGCAAACATACTGAGACAGTAAAATAAATCAATTTTTTTGCCAGAGGTTTTGGAAAGGGATAGGACAGGAGTATTAGGTAGGAGAGGCACAGACTGGTTGATTTTCACTGTTTTAAAACTATTCTGTGAAGTACTGTAATAGCGAATATTTGACTGGTGCGTTTGTTTAATCCTGTGTAGACAAATAAGTGAATGTAGTGTGTGAAAAACATTAACAAGTAATTTAGGAGATCAGAGTCTTCTAGGATGGAGTGAAGAATGTTCCCAAACCACATAGCTGTATTACAAGTGCATACATACCTCAGTGGGAGATGTGGAGAATAAGGTGCTGACTAAAGTTATTTCAAAGTAATGTGGAGTCTGTAAAAGCCAGGGCAAAGTGAACTAATGTAACTATTGCAGTTTAACTGACTTATACCATCATATGTATATATCCAAACTGCACAGCTAAACAATAGTTGGTGGAATCCAGGTCCTGATTTTTGTAGCTGTGAGAATCAGGAGGGATGGGACTAGAATGCACCATGTAGCAACATATTAGAGCTAGGAATAAGAGACTCATTTTGAGAATATATTATATATATATATTAGAAAGAACAAAAGTTTCTGTAATGGGATATGTTAAGAGGTACCAGTAATAACTGAAAATCCGGCAGTGACTAACCCTGAAGATTTGCATAACTAAGGAAGAAGATACAACTAGATTGTAACCTTAAGGATACAGTAAATATTCACAAATCCATATTGGTGTAAATTATGCAACAAACAAACAAATTATGTGGATATTACATCTATAATAACTGACAAATTCTTAGTAAGTTATATAGGTGGTCTTCTGTGTAGAAGGCTGGTGACCCTTGGTGCCTCTTTAAGTGTGGGCTGTGCAAAATGGATTGTACAGCAGCTCCTTTGAATTAAGGCATACCCTTCTCATCCACCAGTTTCTCCCTTTGAACGTAAGTTCTTGTTTATCATGGGTTTCTGATTTGCATCATAAACTGGGTACAACCAATAAATAAAACATAGGCTGACGATAGTGCACAAATCCATTTTAATATAGAAATTGCATTCATGTGATCGGGCAAATCTACATGGCATAAACTACTTGGATAAGAAAAGGACTAAGATTTTCTCTTCATTACAATTTCTCCCTAAAACCAAAATCTATTACCTTAAGGGCATTCCTTTTGTCTGGTTGCTGAGAAAACATAAAACAATGACCCTACCTTTTCAGTTGAAGGCAATTGTGCCTCAATAAGATGATGTCACCATGGTTCTGAAATTGAGCCATTTGGAGCAACATTCCAGAATATCAAATTCCTGGGACTAACACCACACTACTCTTTTTAAGTTGAAAAAATTGCCAGGTATGTATCTAAGTCATTGAAAATCAAGTTTGGCAAATTACCCAAGGTTTTATTATGCCTGGTGAGAAGAAATGTTAGTGAAATATAGGAGGTTAAATGTATTGATGTAGAGAGAATGTGAAGATTTTGTGTCCTGTTCTAAGGCTCAAGTATGTTTTTGCAGCAGAAAGAGCTCTTAGAAATGTATCATCCATGAAGAGACTCCTTTGTGACTGTCAACAGCATCCTCCAGCCAACCAGCATTCCTTACTGGCTCACTGCCATGAACCAAGTATGTGTCTCTTTCCCATACTTGTACATGGAAAAATCAAGTGTCTAACTATTCCAACGTGGGGAACCTTGGGTAGTGGTTAGATGTTGATGTCCTAAGGAGTGTGGAGCTTCCATAAGAATGACTGATGCCCTTATAGAGAGGGAAGGGCATAATAGCACCTTTTCTGACTTTATTCACCAAAGAATGCCACCTGATGTCATTCTAGGAAGGGCATTTTCACCAGGAAACTCTCCAACCACACAGGAATCTTGACTTTGGAGTTTACCCCCCAAATAGTTAGAAATAAATTTGTGTTAGAGCACTCAGACTATAGTGTTATTATCGCAGCCCAAAACACAGCACTAATATGCACAGACCTTGGTTGCAGGAGTCAGGTTTCTACGAATTCAATATATGAACATTATGGCAATGAAATTGGTTTGATGACTACTGTTGCTGCACCATCACTGAACTCTTGACTTGGTCTGTTTCCCAGGACAGATCAGCAGCTTCCTGAAAACAAGTCAACAAAACTGTTACATTGGAGCCCTTTCATCCCGAAATGGTGAGCAGAGATGCTTCACTTTCCAGGGCAGAGATTTGTCTTATTTAGTTAGAAGGTTTCTGTCCACTTCACTGATCTTGAAATGTACTCCATCACCCTGGAGAAGTCAACCAGGTAGAGTTCTTCCACGCGCACAGGAAGATTGTGTCTAGAACACAGTTACCATTCAGCTGTGTTGCAGTCTCATATTGCTCACATGCTGAGCCAGGAGCACAATATCAATTTACTTTGCAAGAGTTTTGCTTTATTTCTTTAGTCCCGACTTCTGATTAGGAGAGTCTGCTCAGTCAGATGAGACTGCCACCTGGCTCACTTGTTTCCTTAGGACTCCCTTTGGCCTACATGGTGATCATTTCATGCTGAATGACATATCCCAGTTATTAAAGGCAAATTGGGTTGATAATCACAAATAGTCAAGTGACTTACATTTGATTGTGAGCCTAGCCTTTAACGGCTGAGCCATCTCTCCAGCCCATGACTTACACTTGGAAGAAAGGAAATTCTACAGAGTTCCTCAGTAGGATCAGTAGTAGATGTCACTACAGGACTGCAATGACTCAATAAAGCAAAGGCACTAAGGATTCTATTAGGCAAAGAACACTGATCAGTCAAATGAAAGAATGATTGTCCCTACAACAGACTATTTAATTTAAATGACTTCACCTTTTAGAACTGAGGTGGAAGAAACAAAGCATTTTTTGCCATCTCCAAAGACAGCATGGCAGAATGAGCATCCTATCTCAGGGATAGATTCCTGGCCAGACTTCTTGTCAAGAATGAGAACCTCATGTGGATATCATCTGCCACAGGAGAAACTCTGAGAGCTTAATGTTCCTGTGAAAGTGAATTGACACTACTAGCTGCTTTAGTTTTCAGTGAAAATGTGAGTCTCTTGGTGAGCATGGTAACCAAACATGGGTTTTTTAGAGTGCCCACTGTAACACTGTGCAGTACCCAGGATCATGGAATAGACCCTACTAGTCAGAGTTCAACCAGAAAAGCCGAAACTACTTTAAGTATTTGAAAGAGAGTTGGTACATCAACACCTTGGAGGTGCTATGTAGTTGGCTATTCAGAAACAGAAGAGCAAAGAAGAATAGAGGAGACCTCATAGCACAGCAGAGATGAACAATGTCAGAAGTCATCATCCTTAGCCTTCAAACTGAAGGTATAGCAGAAGAAGGCTCTCTTGGTGCCCAGCAGATAGGGCCGCATAACTATAATTCCTGTGTTTCTGAGAACCAGGGCTTCAGCCTCTGTCAACTTGATATTTCTGTCTATGGCACTCACCATGATTTCTCTCTTGCTTCTTCCTGCCCTCCAGATTCCCAGAGTGCACCTTTACTCACCAACCCTGATTAGAAGGAAAACTGCCACAGAATGCTGAGTCTAAAGAGTGAACTGAAGGAGACAAGTGCATGATGGGTATATAGAGGGACAACCTGCACACTACCAAGGAGACAGGCAACAATGCTGAGTGACTGACAATGTGTCATGTAGAATGATGCCTGAGGTGATGAGGTAAGATTATAATCAGGATATTGGATGACGAAGTCAGAAGCTGGGAGGATTGGCAAAGGGGCCAGTGTTTTGGCATATTGAGTCCACAAACAAGACAAAAATATTGCTTAACTTGAGACATTGTAGTATGAAAAATATAGCTTCATTTCTTATGGATTAGTACTGCTATGACTCATGAGGAAAATGGACAATTTCTTCCTTTTACAGTCAGTAGTCCAAGGTGTTATGAAAGAAGATCTGTTCTTATAATAGGAATATTTCATAAAAAATCAGTCTTTTTCAATTGAGTCAAAAGAAGCACAAACTTGCTGTTGTCTCCAGAGACAACACATCCAGAAGCAGGAGATTCTGCCTCCCTTTTCCTGGTCCATCTTGAAAATATGAGGCTTATAAGCTCACAAGGAGGGAAAGCCCACATTTTAAAAATGCCTAGTTTGTCATGTTAATGATTGCTAACGTTTCACAAAACTTAATGTTTCCAATTGCATACTAACTAGTCATCTATAAACATTTTCTTTTATGGTCCCCCAAACCCAGTTACTAACAGCTTCTCTTGAGATTTAGGACATCATAAGGGTTACGTAGGTACTCTCTAATGCCTTTCTGACTGATTCAGTGATACTGTAATTTTCAAGGAACTTAGATTCCATCTTTAGATCAGCCCTAGTTTGAGATCTGAGGGGAGAGTCTTTGATGATTGTGGGTACACTCTGAAGCTTGATAAACTTCCTTTACCCTCACCCCTGCTTTAAGTAAAGTTTTTATTTTTCACATTTCTCCTGCTAGTCTCCACCGTGTTACCATTATTTGAGTAAGAAACGCTGTGAACAATACCAGCAACAAAATGCTAGTTATGTTTGTGTCTGTACTTTGATTTGGTTTTAACACTCCCCTTAAAGAGTTTGTTTTTCCAGTTCTCCTCCAACTGAACAAGAAGATTCTACCGACGTTGTCGTCTTTGCACATTCCTGACTCAATGAGATGAATGGGAAAGGCCAAGAGACACCAAGTTTGCATGGTGATCACATAGAATTACCTCTCCAGGACAGTTACTGTAAGGTAGAATTATGTAACGACTCAAAACAAGCAAGTGTTTCTGTGAAATTGAGTAAGAGCACTTGTGTGTTCTGCTTAACTTCCCTCTCTGATGTTCTTTCAGTATGTGGTCTTAGGTTCTTTTGCTGTGCTACCTCATAACTTCCCTGACAAAGCAAAGGAAACTCTACATGTGAATTATTTGTAAATGTGTCTGGCAAATAGATACCAAATCTAGGATTATGCTTTCTATTTCTTTATAGTAGAGATGGATTTTCACCAATTTATGAAGCATACACACTTGATCTGTTTGCGCTATCCTAACCAGCTAGGTCTTCTACCCTGCTTGAGGCCTCCTTTCTCACTGTGGCAGTCAATTCCAGACTCTAATAACGGGGTTTTCGTGAGTGAGTGGCCCGGACAGCAGCCTTGGACCTGATGCCCCTCCCCACCTTCATGCCATGACTATGACCAATGACAAAGAATCACCATCCCTGGAGACAGATTTTCAACTTTCATTTGTCTGGGAATTCTACTATAAATTTTGAATAAGTGTCAATCAGCTTCAACAATAACCAATAGGTCAATGACTAATAAAAACACTACTGGAAGTTTTGGTTTAATAGTGCTAGTGATCAAATTTAAGTCTTCATGAATGCTAAGCAATCTTTTTTAAAGGGAGCAGTCTTTCCAGTCCCAGAATGTTTGGGCTTTATTTACATGTGGAATTCCCTTTCCTCACTAAGCCCCAGGTAGGAGAGCCTAGCATGACAGACAGATTCTGAATTAGCCTTAGGTCTTTGTCTTTCCATGCTCACATCCTTCCTGTACACACTCTGTTGAGGTGCTTCCCTGGCTCCCAGCTTGATGCCAAGAAAGGCCTTATTGGTGTTGTTGTGGCCTCTGAGGACTGATTGGTGTGCTGGCATCCCACAAATAAGCACATCACATTGCCTTTGCATCCTTTAAAATGATGAGTGTGTGGCTCATGTCTTTGATAAGTATGTAGAACACACATGAAAAAATACTCAATCTTATTCTCCTATGTTGTTTCAAATAAAGTATTTTTTAAGATTTGTTTTTAATGTGTATGAGAATTTACCATAAGTTTGTAAGTAGCGTGTGCAGAGCCCAGAAAAGGGCACCGAATTCCCAGGAACTGGAGTTACCGACAATTGTGAGCCACCACATGTTTGTGAGGAATCAAAACCAGGGCCTCTGCAAGAATAACAAATGTTCTTAACTACCAAGCCATTTCTTCAGCCCCCAGTGTTGTTTCAAAATCCTGTTTTTTGTTTTGTTATTTGCTTGTTTATTTGTTACTTTTGCATAGGATATAATAAATTCAAGTACATGGTTTGTCTTGACACTTAATGGAAGGGTTGAGAGTAATGCAAACACCCTGTACTTAAGTAATCAAATTCAAACAGTGATTCTTTCCTTTTGTTATTACTAGACAGTTGTTATATGCATTTTACATTAGAAAGAATAGCAAACATTACAGCATAAACAAGATAAGAATATATATGAAGAAAACTGTCAAGTGTAGGTATGCTCATTATTATGGATTCTCCTTTAATATGTTGTGAATTTGATGCCAAGTTCACCTTAGTGGATAATGTTCTGCATTAAGGCGCATAATTTATTGTCTTAAAAGGAAGGAGTGAAGCAGAAAGGTCAACATGAGGGCCTCTCCCCTCCACATTATTCTGCCTTCTAGCCTTTGTAGCAGAGGCCATGGACCACTCATCAGCGTGCTTAGTGGGTTCTTAACCTGCCACAGGATCTGTGAAGAGGGCAAGCAATTAAAGACATTCTTTTGGCTGGACTGGACATACTTCCAGCCAGCACTCCATTGAGACTCCCCCCTTCCTACTGCAGGTCTTTGGGCAGTAATAACTTTCACTCTTTACAGTTTAGAATAGTGCTTAAAATGATCAGGAAGGATGAGTTACCGATGCTTAAGAAACAAGACATTTTTACCTTGGCTCTGATTACAGAATGTCTCCTTTCTAAATGGAGAGGGAGGGTTTTGTTTTGTTGTAACTATGTGCTAATTTTACCCAGGACCTGGTAGTATACAATAGTAATGATCATGGAGGCATTAAGGACATGTACTGCTTCCTATACATTAAAAAAACCCTCCTACAACTTAGGTATTTGTAACTTTTTTTAAGAAAAGGGAATTAAGACTCAGAAAAGCTAACAGTAATTTCAAATTCTAAGCATACAAGACAATAATTCAGTTTTTAATAGGCAACTTCAAACAGTTTTGTAAATGGTGCAGTCTCCAAAAGAAATGCAGATTGGCTCTGAGCTTTGAAAATACTCAGATAAGTTTTAAATGATAGTAGTATTTCATACTTTTAACAAGTAGAAACACACAGTGAATAAGGATTAGCCATTTAACACATTGTTTATCAATAAATGTTTTTGTTTTGTTTTATTTTTGTTCTCTGTGTAACTTTTGAGCCTGTCCTGGAATTGCTCTGTAGACCATCATGGTTTTGAAGGCACAAAGATTCTCCTGCCTCTGCCTCCCAAGTGCTAGAATTAAAGGTGTACACCACCATGGCATGGGCCCTAAATGCTTTTTTTTAGTGTTCAAATACTATTCAAATTTGAACAAATTTCAAATTTTTATCCTAGTTACTCTTGGTTTCTTTTGTTTTGAACATATGTGTACAAAAACTTCAAGAAAAGTACAGACCCCTTTATTTGCAATCCCCATAGTTATCTGTTTGTCTCAGGTATAATTCCATCCTTCCTCTGAGGGAGGGAGGAAACCCCCCACATGACAGATTATTTATGAAGGCAAAAAAGTTATTTCCTAACAAAGCATACCAAAACCTCATTTATTCTTCAAAAATTTTCTCTTCCCATCCTTACAAGAAATTCAAATGTTTCATTTCCCTGGATAAAGTCCAGCAGTGATTCCCCAGAAACTAGGTAATGAATCCAAATCCCTTTAGGCAGGTTGCAGGACTGTTCTGAGGTCTTTGACTCCATAGGGTTTTTTGTTTTGTTTTGTTTTGTTTTGTTTTCTGAGATATTTCTACCACAGACCCCTAATGTCTTTCTTCAAGCCCAACACTCAGTTCTGCCTTGTGCATTGGCTACTAGATTGACAGATGATTTCTTCTATAAATGGTGTGGGCAGAGGCAGCCATTGAATATGCACAAGTAAACTCTGTCATACCTCTACCACTGCCAGAAACCAAAGTACTTTGCCATATGAGTCCTCTTGAAGAAAGAGAGACAGATGCAGGAGGTTTGCTGAGACTAATCCACTAGCTGGTGAACAAAAGACAAACATCTAGGTTTCAGGGCCATTGATGCTTTGGGTATGTTTGTTGTGCAGTTAGAACTACTAGCAGTTATAATTTCTAGTATCCGGAGCCTCCTAGGATATTTTCTTCTCTCACCTGAGTTCTGCAAATCTGAGGATGGTAGTGCCTTAGAATACTTTATTGCTTCATACCATTTACCTGAGGGAGTGCATGACAATTTGCTCCTCTCTTTAGTTATCTGCTCTTCTCAGAGAAGATGGTAGCTGCAGGGCTTCAGGGAATGGCTTCGAGAATCACACAGTACCACACAGTAAACAAACACTCACCTATTTAAGCTGGGGGCATGTGTCTGATCCAACCTTAATATTATTTTTCAGAAAATGTGAGCAATGATAATTCATATATATATACATTCACTATATATATATATATATGATTGTATTTTAATCTTTTGTGGCTCTAGTTTAATCATCGCTGTATGACTTGTTAATGGAATAAGTCCTGTTTATACAAGGTTGGTACAAAGGGCACTTGTGAAATTGCCTACTCCCAGATCCCATTTTCCTGTGTGACTAACACCCCAATGTATCATTCGATATTGTTCTGAGATTGATGAGATCTTTAACATTCTAAGTGAGTAAAGGCTGGCATAGTAGGTTCTGAGGTTCACATTTTTATTTTAATATATTGAATCTTGTTTATGCATTACGGTCTATCTGAAGCTCAGAGTTCCCAGAGGGAGCTTGACTTCTCGAGTGTGTGGTACAGTCGAGCTTCTCTGCCTCCCTATTTCTGACTGTGCTTATTTTTATTTCATCTAACAGGAACATTAATCATTTTGTATGCTTTCTTCTACCGGGACACGATGGACATGATTATTCATATGCAGGAGTAAACAAATTTGGCTTGTTTTCTTCTGGGAGCAAATAAACCTGGAAGCTATTAATTTATGTTGGAGAATGGGAGTTTAAGAAGCTTTTCTTTTTTAATGATGCATTCCCTATAACTCTATTGCATTTCATCCGGGAAATAGTGAGAGAGTCCTCCTGTGGCTAATTTAACATCTGCTCCAGCGTAGAAAGGTCTTTTTATTTGTATGTTTAACTTGTTATTATGGGTGAATTAATTCTGCTTCTTTTCTAAAGAAGAAGAGTAAGGTTAAGCATCTTTCAAAGAATTAAAGAAGATGAAATTCAGTGAAATTTTGTGGCTCAGGTAGGGATTCTGGATTAGGAACCCCATCATCTACCGCACTGAAACAATAAAAACTGGACAGCTTTTATTTGAAGTCTACTGGTATAAAAAGATTGCTTCTCCATGTAGATGAAAAAGAAATAACAAGTTCTACAACATTTTCATGTTTTTGCAGCAAGTAACTGTCCCACCTTCTGGGTAAGGGTGTGTGATGTCTACAATAGGACATAATTCTTACTTTAAAGTTAAAATGTGTTTGGGGGAATGAGTTCATTGGGCAGAGAGAGTAAATAAGAGGAGGAATTTAGGCTTGGAAGGGGAAGAAAGAAAAAGAGATACCAGATGAGGGCTCAGCCAGTCAAATACAGAAAAATAGGACATACAGTATGAATGGTAAAAAGCCCCAAGACAAAATGTAGATGAATATAAACAGGTTAAGTTAAGTTAAAAGATATATTGGGACAAGCCTAAGCTAAGGCTGAGCATTCGTATTTAATAATAAGTCTCCTTGCTTTTATTTAGGAGCTGGTTGGTTAACCCAAAGAAAATTCTAACCCAGAGTGCATTCCTGTATGTTTCTTAATTCTGTGACCGCTGTGCCCTGCGTTTCTGTAAGCTACTGATGGCTTTTATCATACTTTCCAAATTGACCTGACTTGGGGATAATTGTAGTTTGGTTTATTAAGTTGCTTTTCTTTCACTAACTGACCAAAAGAGTCTATAGGGGTAAGGGTTTATTTCAGCTCATAGTTTGAGGGGGCAGGGTCCATGCTATAGGAAGTTCAGGCAGAGTTTGACCAGTTGAAAAGGAAGCAGAGAAAAGGTGATGCTAGCAGTACTCAGCTAGCTCTCCCCATTTCCCCTTCTTATTTCAGCACCAGCCTCAAACCATTGGTGATGCTTCCCAACTTCAGGACAGGTCTTCTTTCCTCAATCCTTTCTGGAAAGGTCCACACACTGAAAGGTGTGTCTCCCTAATGCTCCATGCATTTCTTAGTCTAATCAATTGAAAATCAAAATTAATAGTCATACTGTTGAAAAAAGGGGTTGGCAAACATGGGGTGTTCTTGTAAACAACCCAACTTTTAGGATGCCTCAATATCTTTTTGGGTAAATACGTATAATAAGCTTCTTAGAAGAATGATAAGATGAGAAGGGGTATTTTATGGAAACATTTGTAAAATTTCAAGGCCAATCACATGGATACAAAAAAGTGTGTGTTTCTATCCTTTATTATGTGGAGCACGGGACATGAATATAGAAGAAGTTACATTAATCACTGTACAACTTTCAGGCTCTCTCTACATTGCTGAAACTTTAATATCTTTCACACTATACCATGAACCTGGTACTGGGCAGGTATTTAGGGCTTAGCTGGCCTTGTAGGGTGAAGCTGGAATCCAGAAGACACAACTGAATGCCACAGTAGAGCTCCTTTTGTTCTTACAGATATATAGGGGCAGGTTGAGGAGGGTAGGGGTGGACATGAGCACTGAGCAGTGTTCTTGCCTGTAAGCTGAAACAGATCATACACTTTCCACTAGCTATTGGTAGT